GCTGGGCTGGGCGGCACTAGGGCTGTGGGATGGCTCGGTTGCCGATGACCAGGAGCCGATGGTAACGAGGCCTGAGGTCTGGGCTGTAGCACTCACAGTGAAGTAGGTGACAGCCACACGGTCCTGCAGCAGCGTCTCGACGGATTCAGCCCAGCTGACCACAGACCCCCGGGTGGAGCCACAGGCGGCCGGTGGCCCCGGCAGGCTGTTCACACTGTGGTTGCTGCCACGGGCCCTGGAAGCGTTTAACTCTGAGAGAGAGAAAGGGTCAGTTCTGGCTTCCTGGGTGTCCCCCAGTGTCACTCCCCATTGCCAGCAGCCCCCCATATCTGCAGTGAGTTCATCTGCCCCATCCCAATGGAAGCTGGTGAGATGTCAGGAAGGGAGTGTGAGGAGCTGGTATCACAGAGGTGTCCTCAGTGGATCAAGCACCGTAATGCCACAGCTGGCACCTTCCAGAGTGACAGCCCTGCCTGCCAGCTGTGGCTTCCTCCCGGGGGTGTAACCATGACTCCACCCGTGACTCATGTCCCCAGGGAACAAAGCCATGCATGGGAAAGGCAGCGGGAAGGGAAAGCAGGATGGAGCGGGACATGGGGGGCACATGGCACAAAGGGAAGCTTGGATGGGTAGAGGTGCCTGAACTTACCTTCCCCACTCCCCTGGGCTATGATAAGGAACAAACCCAGACAGAAGAGGACACAGAAAGTGTCATGCCCAGCTTCCAGCCCCAGGAAACCCAAGGTGACCATGCATTCAAATGGAGTCCCTCTGTCAAAAAGACAGAAGTTTCCAGGGGCAACCCCAGATATTGAACTGGTTTGGCTGGTGAACAACAGGGAGCAGAGGATTATTTGCAAGAGAAGATAAGAGTATGGAAGCAGGATTCTCCCAACAAAGCTGGCAGGAGCAGGGGAGGCAGCAAGTTGCTGCTTTACCAAGCTCCCCACTCTTCTGTTCAAAACATGGGGTAACCACACATAACCTGCATGTGCTGGTAGGAACAGCACCCCCAGCACCCCACGCTGGAAGGATCCTGCAGCAGGGCCCAGATGGGCTAATGGGCCAGCTGAGATATCGTGTACAATGAGACAGATGGACAAGATCGGCAGACAGACAGACGCTCAGGAAGCCCCTGGGCCCTGAACAGCCAAGGGTGCCAGCTGAGCAGCCACAAGGGAGGGATAGACACATGGGGCCATGCAGGAGGGATGGGGGTAAGGCAAGCCCCTGGCACAGGGCTCAGCCTGCCACTGCAGGGGCTTGGCCATGCTCTCGCCCACAGCCCAGCCTGTGCTGACACAGGACCTGGCTCTCTGCTAGCTCCTTGCCCCTGGCACAAGGCTGGCTGTGGGCTTCCCCCTCCCCTGAAGACGTTGCCAGCCTCTCCCATCCCAGAGCAAAGAGCAGTCTTACCTCCATCTGACACAGCTGGGCCCTGCGGGGGTGGAAAGAAGAGAGGTGAGAAGGGGCACATGGTGGAGCAGTACCTGGGCCAGAGGCAGTGCCCTGACAAGCCCAGTCTGAACCCAGGAGCAAGGAACATGGGCTGCTGGCAAGCACTGCTCTGCTGTTAGACGCAAGAGCTGTGGGAAAGGCAGGACACAGGACTCCCAACACAAGGGTAGTGAGGAGGGGTAGGGGGTCACAAGGGGTGTGCAGCTCTTCTCCCACCACACCTGCACCTATTGCTCTGGGGCCGGGCCAGCAGCTGGGAATGGGCAGATGCTCTCAGATGTAACCTTGCCACCAGCTGCCCGGGGAGGGCCTCCCCGTCACAGGAAGAGGAGGGGAGGAGGGGAGGGAAGGAAGGACAACCACAGCCCTAGGCAGGCAAACTGCCCTCTCCCTCCTTCCTTGGAGCCTAGGGCTACTGGAGGACAGATGCCCAAAAACAGGGACCAGGTCCTGCCAGAGCTGCCAGGGAAGGGCACAGCAGGGCAGGGTGTCTTCCTGCACCCCCTGAGCCACCCCAGACACCTGCTGTGGGGATGGTGGTACCCCAGGACCCACAGCAAGCACAGAGATGGGCAAAGCCTCAAAAGTCAAAGCCCAGACAAGCACCCGCTCCACGGTGCTGCCTGGGGCTGCACTGAAGTGGTGCCTTTGACCCGGCTGGGCAGTGCCCCCCCCCCTGCCAGCCACACACACCACAGCCTGCCCTGCACACCTCCTGCCTGTTCCTATCCCAGCCCCACTATCTCAGCCCTGTCTTGGCCCTGCTACCCCCCCTCAGATGCTGCTGCTATGCCCCTTACCTCAGCCTCACACATCCCAGCCCTGCAGGCCCATTACCCCAGCCCAACATACCCCTGCATTACCAGCTCCTAGCTCTTCCCCATTTATCCCTGCTGCCCATACCCACGTAGCTCTGCCCTTCCTGTGCCACCCACCCACACCAGCACAGCTGACTCCTGTTATCCCAGCCTTATAAGTCACTACTTGCCCATCACTCCCCATACATCCCCACTTGTGTCACTGCCTCAGCCGATCCTGCCTGCTCAGTTACCCAGCCCCGTAAGACCCTCCCTGCCCCTTACCCAGCCCCGCACACTCACTGCCCTCTGCCCTTACCCCCTCCTGCGCCTCTGTCTGCTTTGGATGTCCAAGCCACACGCACCCCTG